GTTTTTGGATAATCTTCAGTTGAATCTTGCTTGCATGTGAAATCAATGGTATCGTTCTATAGTTTCCACACTCTGTTGGGTCACCCTTCGATCTGGGTTGATATTTTATTTTTAAACACTTTCTCCCCATTCATTGTTGCATATTTTCCTCCCTGATCACTCCCCCCACCCCACCCCCAAGTTTGCTTTTCTCTTTGAGAATAAAAAAAAAATCTTTCATTGTTTACTATGTTTACTATGCAGCCTTCATTCTGGACTCCTGTCATGACAATAATACCTAGTCACATAGCCCTTTTAGGCAGTTCTCTCCTCATCTGTCTCAATGCAGTGTACATTGTTTATCCCCCTTTTCTTTAGCTTCCCCCCTGCCCCGACGTCAGTCTTGTTTTATAACAGTGGCTGTATGCAGTATTTGTCCTTTCATGACTGAGGTATTTCACTCAGCATAATGTCCTCCGGGGTCACCCATTCTGTATAATATTTCATGAGTTCCTTGTTTTCAACATTGTGCAGTATTCCATTCTGTAAATATGCCAGTTTCTCTACCCATTCGTTTGTTGATGGGCACTTGGGTTGTTTCCACCTCTTTGCTATTGTGAACAGAGCTGTGATAAACACGGGTGTGCACAGGTTGGTATTTTCTGCTGAGCCCTGGTAGAGCAGCAGGCTGCCAGCTGGAAATCCGGCGGCTCAAGCTCACCCAGAGGCACTGGGCAGCTGGAAGTATCACCCCAGCAACCTTGAGGGGCCAGTTCTCTGTGTTTCTCAAGGGGTGGCAGGAGCCAGAACTGACCCACGGGAACCCAGCAGCCGCCATCCCTGTCCAAACAAGCAGCCCTCCAATGCCCCAACCTGCGCACCCACGTGAGACAGTCCCAGGGCCAGGCCGTAGCTTCCCAACACCTCAGCCTCTCTGGGACCCTCAGCTCCAGTGAATTTCAGAAAGATTAGCAATTCATCTAACATCAAGCAACAGGGCTGTTGTTTTTTCCTCCCAGAAGCTGGGAATGTTCACAAATGGGTCTCTGTGTTATAATTACACAATAAATAATCTGAAGCGATGTTCTCTGCGGCTTTGCCTTAAACTCAGGCTGACTTTCCTCTGACCTTCTGTCTTCTAAGGACAGAAGTGTCCTTAAATAACTTGAGAAATGTTTGCCTCATTGATTTTGTTGGTTTACTGGTTATAGAACTGGTGAAAAACCTTCTCAATCTACTAAAAGAAACAGGTCTTCACGGAGCTGAAAGGGGCTATGTGACGAATGCCTTCAACAAGCAGCAGCTCCTTTCACCTAGTCCAGTCCTCAGGACGTGCGAGGCTGCCTCGAGTCACTCCCGGTCCACAGCAAGGGCCTTGCAGGGAGCAACCCTGAAGGCTGACCACGTGGTAACAGTCTGTTTTCACATTTGCTCTGGGGAATACTTAGGCATGGCCTGGGGACTGAAGCCAGGGCTCTGGGCAACAATCTTACATGTGCTCACCCGATGATCACGGGTGAGAGCAGTCCTCCACGTACCTTATCCGTGTCCACTCCAGACATGAACTCCTGCTCCACGGTCAACTTGTCAAAGAAGTCTTCAGAAGCTAAAACGGATCAGCAAACAGCAAGTTAGGCAGGAACTCAATGCTCAGCTCCCTAGCTGGTAACTCTACTTCTTTGTATAGAGTCAAAACCGACTCAGAGCGGACCCTCCAGCAGGTTTTCAGAGGCTGTAAATCGCATGGGAGGCACTGCTCATTGGCAGCTGGTGGATTTGAACTGTGTACCTTTGGGCTGGCAGTGTAAACTCTTACCAAAATGCCACTACAGCTCTCTTCAAGCAATGCCAATTTCCCTGGGAAGTTTGGTTATTTTTATGCTTTCATATGTATAGCGTGATTTAGAAGAAAGAAATGAAAAAGGAAAGACAGAATAAAAGGCAAGCAAGCCCAAGCTCCATTCCCCACAGGAACCGTTTCCAGGCATGTGCAGACCCCGGAAGCATCGTGCCAAAGCTGCATTTGGACACAGCTGACACTGGTGCCACTCCAGGGTCCCTCTCAAGGTCCAAACGCACATCTTGGGAAGGGGCAGGATGAGCTGCAAAAGCCCTACACCACTTCGTCTCCGCCCCCAGGCTCAAGACAATCTCACTTCATTTCTCTTGGGAGTCACATGATACCAAGGGACTGGTTTCCTGACACTGCCTCAGCTTGTGGGAAGAGAAGGAGGCATCTGCTTCCGTAAACACGCAGAGCCTCGGAAACTGAAGGGGGGTGGCCAAGAGTCCACGCTGTCTGGATGGCGGCGGGGCTTGCTCTGGTCTCATCGAGGATTCGAAGGACAGTCTACCATTGCACGGGGTAGGTTTGAACTCTACAGCAGTTCTGCAGAAAACTTCTGTCGTAAAGAGAAGAAAACCAGCAAACCACCCCGAACCACCACACTGCTCCCTGGGGGGTGTAAACAGTTAACAGGACAGCTGCCTGAAAGCTGGAGGTTCAAGACCACTCAAAGGTGCTGCGGTAGGAAGGCCTGGGGACCAACGTCAGCAAAGCAGCCGCTTAGAGCTCTATGTAGCAGAGTTGTATGTGGCACACGGCGCTGCCACAGGGCAGGACAACTAGCTGGAACAAGCGGCTTTAACAATTAAAGAAGAAAAAGAAAAGCCAGACTCCTCTGAAACCTGCAAATCAAATCCGCACGATAAAGCAAGCCAGCCAGGGACCAAAATTCACAAAATCACAAAGGCTGGATTAGACAAAACGGCCGTGTTGAACTGCGGCCCAGACCTACGGACGTACTGTCTCCTGACCTACTGTTACCGTGGTTGTTAGGTGCTGTTGAACTTCAACTACACCGCGTAGGGACCTTATGAGCAACAGATCTGACCTTGACCCTCAGTCCAAAGAGAACGAGAAAATGGAATGAGTCGAAACTGGAACATTTTCAACGGTTACCATGCATATACTTCATCCCACAGAGATGAGAGGCATGCTTTACGTTTAAAAAATTAGCTTCAAGCTCCACTGATTTTACCAGAGACCTACATTAGCACTTGTTTTTGCTAACCTGAAGAAGATATCCAAGAAGAACTTTCTCTTTTACAGGAAAAAAAGGGTGAAAAAGGAAATTAGCCTTGAGCAACACATGTCCTAAGCAGCGGAGGGCCGTGGCCGGGCTTCCTCCCAGGACGGACACTGGACAGAGGCTGCGTATTTAGCCTGTCAGTCCGGCTTGCACTGTGTTGTCTGCTGTGGAGCTGACCGCGACTCCTCCACGCCCCTCCAGCGGGTTTTCAGAGGCTGTAAATCGCACGGGAGGAGACGGCTCATCTTTGTCCTTCAGAGCAGGGGGTGGGTTCAAATCCTGACTTTGGGCTGGGAGGGCAGCTCCTTCCACTAGGCCACCAGGGCTCCCTGCAAATACTACAGGGGTTATTGTGTATGATTTCTCAGGCTACTTTTTGGAAACCCTCAAAAGTATTTTCCCTTTATAAATTATTGCTAACTGCATCTTTGTTTATGCCATCTTACTCACTAAAGGTTGCACAGAACGCTCGACTTTCAGAGAGCAGGGGAAACCTGTATCCAGACAGATCTGACATTGCAGAGGCACCCTGGGGTCCCGGCAGGCTAAGCGCAGGACCGCTATGGGGACACTGGAAGACAGACGGCTGCCTTCTCCATGAGGGTGAGGATACGCAGCCTCGGACACCTGACCGAGGGTGGCCAAGCGTTGGGATCACCCGCTCGGGACTTCTGCAGGGACGCGCTGGGGTGCAGGGCAGGTGGTGGAAGCCGTGTCGGCCCGGGGCCAGGGGAGCCGGATGCCCGCGAGGATACTCACTCGTCACGTCCTTGATGAGCTCTGCGATGGAGGTGTGGTTGGCCAGGGAGCCCCTCGCTGCCTGCATGTGGGGCAGCTGCGAGACGAACTGCTTGATCTCCCCGACTGTCTTGGCATTGTGTCGTTCCTGAAACGGACAAGACGGAAGGGTCGTGGAGGCCAGAGGACAGCTCATTCCCACAGGCTCTGAGTATGTAACCAGAGCTAACGTGCACACGGGAGCCTGGGAGCACAGCGACTGTCTGGAAGGTGAGGAGTTCAAACCCACCAGCTGCTTCACGAGACAGATTATATATATATATATATATATATATACAGCAGTTTCGACTTGTGGAAGACCAGAATGGAAGCCCAACGGGACAGTTCAGCTCTGCTCCAGGGTTATACGGGGATGCGATTCATTCTGTCAGCTTAACAAGAAAGAAGAACAGGCTAGGAATGGACCAGGTGGCGAGCACTGGCCGACACCCCTCGAGCAGGCTCTGTAGGCACCTGATCAGCCAAGGGGGCCACCCTGCACCACAGCACAGAACCCCCCAGGCCTCTCCAAGGCTGCAGACCTCGGCGGGAGGAGACTGCATGTTTCCCTCCCCAGGGCCGCTGGCGGTTTCAAGTGCTGGTCTTCCGACTACTCTAACCACTTTGGCACTGGGGCTATGTTCAACAGTTGTACAGAAAAGAAAACTTCTGAAGGGAAAAATTAAAAATACCAGAGGAATGAAAAGGCAGAGAGTATTTTCCTTTATAATAAAGAATATAAGGTTGTCGTGATGCCAAACATTGTGACACTGATGTGTCAAATGCGATCATGGTGGAGCTCCCTGATTAAAACAAGCTCGGAGGGAGCTCTGGTGGCCTAGTGGCAAGAAGCTGAACTGGAATCCCAGAGGTACGCAGTTCAAATCCACCAGATGCTCTGCTGGAGAAGGAGAGGCAATCTCCTCCTGTACCAGTCAGTCAGATCCGATTTGACGGTGCACACACAAAAAATAATAATAATAATAATAATAATAATAATAATAATAATAATAATAATAATAATAAAACAAGTTTGGAAGCAGGAAAGGCATCCAATTCCGGAATGGCTTGACTCCAGAAACCCTATGAACTTGGAGAAATGATGAAAGTTATACAAGTGTTCAGGTCTTTGGTTCATAGGGTTGCTATAGTTGTCTATGACTCGACAGCACTTAACAACAACGATATAATATAAACCCATTTTTGCTGCTGAATATAAAGTCCAAATAATTGGCAAAAAAGTGAAGCCCGCTTCCCACCCACCACCAGTGAGTCAATTCCAACCCAGCATCGAGGGGAACTGCCACCCAGGGTTTGTGAAGAGCAAATCATGACAAAGGAGTGGACAGCCCCAACCTTTTCCCAAGGACCTGAACTGTCAACTTTTGGGTGAGCTGCCCAACACTTAACCCACCGAGCCACCAGGACTCCTGGAACCTTGCTTAGTGAGGAGCAAACTTTGATTTCTTGTTGTAAAATGTGATAATTTAAGCCAAACAGCTTCAGAAATGCTCCTCAGCAGTTCATCAACGTGACTCTGAAAAAGCTGGACCCCGGGGCACACGCTCGGGGACAGGTGGTTTTCAGAGCCCACCAGGCCTGGCCCAGGAGGCGGAAGGCGATAATGAAATGCAGCGGGCAGCGCCCGAGGACCTGCGGGGGAGCCTAGCCTCATTAGCACCTGCTCCAGCAGCTGGGCCCCGGCCGGTGGGGCTTCCTCCACCGAGAGCCGTCCCGGACCAGGGCTGGTTTATTTCTAGCACGCCTGGAAATAGTGCAAAAAGAGGCAAAACACACACTGCTGGCAAAAACCTGCAAGCTGCAGAGTCAGGACCAAAGGGGAAGCCATTGAAAAATGTCCCTTCTTTCTGCCGTGGGTCTGGGGAAACGTTTGAAGAGGTCCTGGAGCCGGAAGCAGGCAGTCAGACGAGATGCTGCTAACAGAGGTCTGTGCTTTGCATCCCCAGCTGGGCTTTGGAGGAAGACAAGGCGTCTCTTCCCTGAGGATCTGAGCCCGGAAACCCGAGGGAGGGCAGCATGCGTCAGCACTGACCCGCTGCTGGAGGATCATGGGAAGGTCAGGTAAGGAATGGAGCCCAGTGATTAAGTGTTTGACCTCCAGCCACAAGGCCAGCAGTTTGAGCCCCACCAGCCCTCTGTGGGAGACCAATCTGACCATCTCTGTTCCTGTGATGATTTCAGCCTAGAAGCCCAGGAGGGCAGCCCCACCCCACTCTTGTCTGAGAGTCCCAAGTCAGGTGACTTGACAGCACACAGCAGGATGGGCAAGGACCACCGAGAGAGGAGCCCTGGGGCCACGGTGTACTACCAGGCTGCTAGGCAAAAGGTCAGCAGTTTGAATCCGCCTGCCAGCACATGGGGGACACACGGGCAACCTCCCCCCAGAGATTTCCTACCCTGGACACAGGTGGGGGTCACAAGCTGCAATCAAGTCAACAGCACTGGGTTTTGGTTATTAATCCAGAAACGGGTTTCCAAGGCACAGAATAAAGGCCTGGGAATCTGCTTCCACCCACGTCACCAAAAGACCTCAGGCCGCTGCCCTCCAGCCGATGCCCCTCAAGGTGGCCCTCCCCTCAGGTCTTCCAGGCTGCACATCTTGAGGGCAGAGGACTCCGTCCTCTTTGTCCTGGGGGGGCTGCTGGATTCGGTGCTATCGAGGGTTCACTGTTCAAAGCAGCTTTCCCAACCGTGCGACAGGACGGGCGCGATCAAACAGGGTGTGTTAGTCTAGTCTCACCAAGAGGACAGTAGGGTTGGTGTGGGGATTACCAGAAACAGGCCAGTGAGCTTGGGGGACGCAGCTGACCTCACGGGAGTTGGACCTGTGCTGTGGATGCTGTTGGGGGGGCAGTTCCCCCAGGGAGGTGAGGGCAGACAGTCGAGACCTGTCCTGGTTCTACCATTTGGTCAACTGTCTAAGGCACTGTGTGTACAGAGCCAGGAAAAACCCTCCAGAGCTTAGTGCCACCAACATCAGTGCTGATGCATGGCAGCTGGGCAGTGATGCCAAAGGCCCTGCCTGAAGCCTGCAGAGAAGCCCTCCGGGTTCTGTAAATCATTTGGCAGTTAACCAAGAGGCCAGCGGTTCAAACCCCCCCGCTGCTCCTCAGGAGGTCGCTGTGATGGCCGGCTCCTGTTAAGATCTGAGTCGTGGTGGCCCCATGGGCCGGAGCTACCGCACCAGGGTGCTGCGGTGAGTGTGAGTCGACCGGAAAGTGTGGTGTGGGGTGGGTCCCCACCGCCTGCGCATCCTGGGCAGGGTGGCCCGAGGGGGACGGCGCCTGCGGCTCTCACCTCGAAGGCCGCAGAGATGACCTTTGCTTTCTTGCTCAGCACGGAGCCCACGGCGTTGAAGTTCTTGTCGCGGATCTCGGCGTACAGCTCCTCGGCGGAATTGAGCTGCAGCTTCTTGGCTTCGGTGGGGAGCTCCTTACCACTCTCCCCCTGCTTCTTCGGGGCGAACTTCTCAGGGGGCAACTTCACGTAACCTGCACGGGGAGAGGGGGCCATCACTCTGAGGAGCAAGCAAGGCCCCGGGCACAAGGCCAAGCAGTCACAGAGCGGAGCTGTGCACCTCGGAGGGGCTCGGGCAGAAAAGAAAACCTCCCCACGCAGCTGACGTCTCGCACACAGTGCCCGACGACCAGTCCCATCGCTCGGCTTTGCTCAAACAAGGACCTGGCTGTCTACTTCTGAAATACCAGGCAACACGGGTCAAGTGAAAAAAAAAAATCACATAAAGACCAGGCTTACAGGTCTCTTGGAGACTAGCGGGACCCCAAAGCCCATGGCTCTCAGTCACCCCAGAATCCCTGAGCTGGACTCAACTTTCAGTCAAACACCAGACAGGCCTATGAGGTGACACCAGGAGAGGTACACTCTCCTCAGCACAAGACCCAAGGGGCATTGGTCACTCAGGAACGGTGCTCCCAGGGCAGGAAAGAGGAAAGGAGACACACAGGAAGGGAGCGGGGAGAGTGCTGTTACAGCAGGGACACTGCCCTCAATGCCGTGAGGCAAGTGTGCACGGACCATTGAGCGGAAAACCAAGCTGCTCTGCAAACCTGTCCTCAGGTAACAAAAGGAGGATTTTTAAATCACCAGGCAGCGGATCATACACGCCCCCAAGGATCACAGAGATCAGAACTGCCACTGTGGAGCGCTTAATTCTACTGTGCATGAAGTCGGGGCAAGGTGGGGGGCCCACTCCAACAACCAGTAACCACAACTAACAACAGAGCGCTGTTCTGCAGGGGCGTCCACACAGACCACTGCCCCCCATCGCCCTGACCACGCCACCCCGAGAACGCGGCCATCGGGCCCTTGAGGCTGGGAACCGTTTCTGCCAGTGACGCCTACCTCCCTCCCACAGAACCACTGCTGCATTCAGACAGCTGACCTCCTGGTCAGCAGTCCTGCACACAACGCCCTGCGCCACCAGCTGCTTCGTAACTATTCAAATGCACACTCACTGTCTTCCTGTCAGTTCACCAACACTGAGCCTTCACTGGGTTTCTGAGGCTGTCAATGGAGCAGGAGAGGGCGTCCATCTTCCCCTTGGTGGGCTATTGGTGGAGACGCACGGCCAGGACGCAGGCCGTTAGGTGAGCTGCACACCTCCCCCTGGACCACAGCGGGGCCACTGCAGACTCCGCCCCCAGAGCTCTCCAAATTGCTGCTGCGAACCCCTGGGACCAACTCAGAGCTGACCACCTAGCAGGTAAAGTGCACGGGAGTGACTGCCCATCTCTCTACCCGCGTATGAATTGTTAGGGAGATGCAAATCAAAACTACAATGAGACATTATGTCCCACCTACCAAAACGATCATTTAAAACAAAAACCAAGAAAAGCTGGCAAGGACGCAGGTAATTTTCATTTCCACGCGCTCCTGGTGAGAATGCAAACTGCTGTTAGGGTTAGGGTTAGAGTCAGGCTCTCCCTAAGTAGTCGGCCCCAGGCAGCCCAAATAGGGCAGGTCTGACGGCAGCGGGCTGCAGACCGGAAGGTGGGCTGCAGACTGTGTGGTGGGTGGGCTTTGTTGCTTTTTTACAAATGGACAGTCCGGAGCTTCCCTTCAGGGCCACGTTCCCAGCAGCAGGCATTTGGTACGCGTCTGTCCCATATTTCAGTCATTTTCGCGGTAATGCCAAGTTTTCCATACGCTACAGCACACTTGTTATATAGCATCAACGTAACTTGTAGGTGCATGAGAAAACCAAAAATATGAGACTCGTTTTACCACGATGCTTCCTCGGAGCAGTTCTGAACCAAACTCGCAGTATCCCATGGGCATCTTTCTTACACACGTACCCACGTGTGTGGATATGAACACATAAAAGCTCAAGGAGAAGTGAGCACAGACACACTTTCCCCTGCACTGGGATTATTTCCACGGTTCTGTTAGATCTGCAATGCTCTCAATCGTTAGGATTGTTTAGAAAATGTGGGTAAATGAGTCACCACGCTCCCCCCTTTTGGAATTATTCCTCCGGGGACGTTCAGGCCTTGGACTTTCTAGAGGACAAGACGGAAGACAGTCCACTAAGGGAAGCCGAATATCAAATTTAATAATAGTAGACCAAATGCTGTTTTGTACTTCCTTGTGATTTTACTTTTATTATCTTATGATTCTAAATAAATACTCAGAGAAGCATGGCTT